TTGATGCGAAAGAGAAAAACACAAAAGTGAATGGGCGCATGGTGTATCTTTAAGCAACTCTTGCAAAAGTTGATGCAGAATTGAAAAACTTTTATGCAAAGAGGAAGAAGACCATTGAAAGTATAGACCAACAAATTAAATAGTCACCTAAAAGTAAAGAGAAGATTATAACTTTTCAAGGCGAGCTTCATGCCATTGAGGAAAGTCATCCATTATCTGAATATGAAGTGAAAAAATTATCCAAATTAGACGAGGCGGTTGACACTAGTCGCAGACAAATCCTAAGATTAAAATCTTTTCCATAGTTTAGATTCTTTCATAGGATTTTTAATTATTATTTAGTTTCTTATTATTATGTAATGACATTTCTTTCTTGGAGCAATAAAATGTTCTCTTATATTTCAATATCAATCATCTCTCATTGAAATTTAATATCGTATCTATTTTTTTCTTAAATAAACACAATTGATGAATCTGCTTGAAGAAACCTAGACCACCTACACAAGAATCAAGTTCTTGTTGGATTTCCAAAATTAATAGTTACAAACTGACTAGAGATTTATCGTAGAAAACCTCATTGCTCAAGGGAAGAAAAACTACGACGTACACCTCGTGGAATTCACCAACTTCGCTAACTTCTAAGAGAAACATTATATTACAACTCTATGATAAAAGTGACTAACTCTTGTAACTCATCTCAACAGTTCATTTAAACTATGAAACGATTAACTATAATCATATACCCTTGTTGGGATAAGTATTATTTTGATAAATGACTAAATGCAAGGAATACGTTGGCAAAATAATCTCATGGGAAACTGTTTCAATAATGACTTCTATTTCATAAAAAAGTTTTATTGTGAAAAGAACTCCAAACTAAAATAGGGTCATGAATAGAGGAAGAGTCTCGAAGGAAGTAGAAGTGAACAAACGATAAGACATAACTACTAGAAGAGGAGTCCATACTGATTTACACACTTACAAAGCTAAATCGACTGAGTGATGGATTTCTGAAGTGCTGCTGAACGAAGAATATAGAAGAACAAAATCTAGGAAGTTTCTTAGTATTTGTGATTTTTATATTGTTATATAAATGAATTATAAACTGATTCTAAGATCTTATCATTCAAGTTGAGGGCAACTCGAAGACTCTGGGAACACATACCTTGGAGGTCTGTGCTAGAATTGAGATTAGGTAATTAATATTTTGGTTACATAAACTCTTGTAATCTCATTGTTTGTTGAGGCTCGTAGTTATTTTGTGAAGTTGGGGTAAATCTTGTTGAGGAACATGTCATTGATTTTACACCTTTTGAGTTGGGTGTTTCCACATAAAATATTGTGTTCTTACTTTACAGTATTTACATTCTCTTTGAAACACGTTAGGCAACTTGGTTTACTTAATTAAAGTCTGAAATAAAAGTAAAAACAATTAAGGTCGTGTAGAATAACAATTGGTATCAGAGCAAGGTTATCTTATACAATGTAAAATCTAATATAAAAGATCGAGATGAATTCTGCACCACCTATCAGTCATAGCGAAGGACAATCAACTGTCAGACCCCCAATGTTCAATGGGTCTCATTTTGGCTGGTGGAAAGCACACATGGAAGACTTCATTCAAGCAGAAGATTATGAACTGTGGGACAACATAATGATTGGACCTACCATTCCTATGAAGACTGTTGAAGGAGTTCAAGTCCAAAGGTTAGGATTGACTTCACTCTGGAAGATTTATCAGCTGTCAGAAAAAATGCTAAGACGGAAAACATTCTTGTTTGTGGCCTTGGACCATATGAGTATAACAGAATCTCAAATTGTACTATTGCCAAAAAAATCTGGGATGCACTTGTCAATGCTCATGAATGAAGTAGTCAAGTAAGGAATTTAGAGTAGCTATGTTATTCCCTGAATATGAAACTTTTAAAATGAAGGAAAATAAGCCTCTGTGAGAAATGATTACTAGACTCACTAAGCTGATTAATGAGTTGTCATCACTAGGAAAAGTTCTCACTACTGAAGAACTGGTTGACAAGGTGCTAAGGATCCTTCCAAAAACCAAATGGGATGTAAAAGTAACTGCTATAAGAGAAGTTAAAGACATCTCCATAATGACACTTGATGAACTTTTGGGAAATCTCAGATCATATGAGATCAACATGGATGACTTCAAGAAGGAGGAGAGGCTCAATAAAAAATCATTGGCCCTGAAAATGTCTGATGGGGAAGATTCTGATTTGATGAGGATCAAATAGCATACCTGGCTAAAGGCTTTAAGAAGTATATCAGGTAAGGAAACAGAAATGAAAAGAAGGAAACTAGTTACAAGAAGTGGACAAATGATAAATCTCAAGTTGGTTGCTTTAAGTGTGGAAAAATTGATCATCATATTAAGGAATGTCCTTAGTTGGAATTTGAATGGAGGTAAGAAAGATCAGAAAAGGAAAGGACTTAAAGAAAAAGGAGGAATGTGCAATGTAGCTGCTTGGGGCATCAGGAACTGAAGTATCCGATGATGAAGAAATATAAGAAACAACATTCATGGCTGTAGGAGATTCAGACCTCGATGATGATGAAAACTCTGAGGTTAGTATTGTTAGTCTTAAAGAAAAACTGCATCTATTTTCAAAAAAAAATTAATCGGATTAATGAATGAGTTAATTGATGGCTATCAAGAATTAACATGTGAAAGAGATAAGCTGTTTAAAGTCTTTGAAGATAAAAAATGTTAGTACATGGAACTAAAAAGTGACAAAACTATAACTGATAAACAAAACAGTTGTCTGAAGAAACATGTTGAAAAACTTGAGTTATCTAACCTAGATAAAAAATCTGAAATCTTAAAGATGTCAATCACTGGAAAAAGGAAAAGGAGAAATGAGTGAAACTGAAGAAATGGAAAATGATTTGAAAAAATGCAAAAATGATTATTTTTTTTGAAAAGGAAAATGTGAGAAAACTAAATGTAGAAATCTCTCTCATAAAAGTAAAGCTTGAAAGGGTAAATAGATGGACTCATGATCCATAATTGTCAATCAATTGTGTGAGAGAAATCACAATGAGAAAGCAGGCATTGATTTTTATAATGATAATGATATTACAATTGATTTGTGCTATATTTGTGGCAAACTTGAGAATCCAACCATTGACTGTCATGTCGCCTAAAATTATAGAAACAAAAATGCTGAATTAGCAACTAACAACTGTGTTAAAACCAATCAGAGGAATAGGAATAAAGATTGGCTGCCAAAATGGGTAAAAAGAAAATCTTATTCACCCCTTCAATCATCGGAAAGGACCCAAGCTTGTCTGGATTCCTAAAAACTAAGGACCCAGCTTGTCTGGGTTCCTAAAACTAAGGACCCAAGCTTGTCTGGGTTCCTAAAACTAACCTTTAAAATGCTTGCAGGTAAAAGTGAAAGGAAGCAAGCACATGTATATGGATAGTGCTTGTTCGAAGCATCTGACCGGAGACAAACATAAATTCCTTTCACTCACTGCATTCAAAGGGGGAGGTGTTTCATTTGGAGATGGAAAGAAAGGTACTATTGTAGGTGTTGGGAAGATTTGAAACACTGAATCAAAAACACTGAAAGAAGTGTACCACACGAATGGGCTAAAGCATAATCTTCTTAGCATCTCTCAACTATGTGACAAAGGTAATAAAGTAGTTTTTACTTCTAAAGGTTGCACGGTTGAAAATTTAGATACAAAGGAGGTTATCTTAATCTAGAAAAGACACATAAAGGTGTACAAAGCTGACATCATGGGAATATCAGGCACTAATCTGAAGTGCCTTAGTGCAATAGCTAATGATCCCTTACTATGGTACAAAAGACTTGGACATGCAAGTTTGAAACAAATAAACAATCCTTTAGAAAAGGAGATGGTTATAGGCTTACCTAAAACCAAATTAAAAAATGACAAAGTTTGTGGTGCATGTGTAAGGGGGAAGCAAGTGAGATCATCCTTCAAATCAAGGAATCGGGTAAGTACAAAAATGCCTTGAATTGATTCATATGGAACTATGCAGACCAATGAGAGTAAGAAGTAGAGGAGGAAAAAGGTATGTCTTTGTCATCATTGATGATTTTTCTAGATTCACTTGGACACAATTCTTAACTTCTAAAGAAGAGTCCTTTGAGACTTTCTCTATTTTTATCAAGAAAATGGAGAAAATTCTAGGACTATACTTGATTTCCATAAGATCTAATCATAGAACAGAATTTGAAAATGCAAAATTCTTAGAATTCTGTCCATCACATGGAATAGATCATTATTTCTCTGCTCCCAAGACTCCTTAACAAAATGGAGTAGTTGAATGGAAAAAAAGGACTTTAGAAAACATGGCCAGAACAATGATGATTGCCAAGAATCTTGAAGAAAATCTCTAGGCTGAAGCCATTAGTATTGCATACTACATTATCAATAGGTGCATGACACATCCCATCTTAGAGAAGACTCCTTATGAATTACTCAAAGGTAGAAAACCAAATATCTCTCACTTTATGACCTTTGGTTGTAGATGTTATGTTCATAATAATGGTAAAAATAACCTGGGAAAATTTGATGCAAGGAGTGATGAGGGAATCTTTTTGGGATACTCTCAACATAGTAAATCATATAGGGCCTTGAATAAAAGAACAAAATGTGTTGAAGAAAGTGTGCATGTTATTTTCAATGAAAATTGTTCTCTATTCGAGACTAACATGCAGGGTGATAGTGAAATTAAGGAGCATAGTCAGGAACAAGTTGAGCAACCAGCTCCTTCTATTGAACAATCAAAGAGCATACAATCAGGGGGAACACTAAGTCAAGATACTGGTCACATTGAAGCATGAAATGTTGTAGATACCAGTGAAACCTCTCAAGGATTGACTATAAAAATCTACAATTATCAAGGATCGCATCCAATTGATAATGTTCTTACAGACCTAACCTCTGGAATCACTACCAGGTCAGGCTTGAAGAACTTATGTGCATTTCAATCGTTAGTGTCTATGGTTGAACCCAAAAAAGTGGAGGAGGCTCTTCTTGATGAAGATTGGACACAAGAAATGCAAGAGGATCTTAATCAATTTGAAAGAAGTAAGGTATGAAATCTTATTCCACCACCTGAAGAGAGAACATTGATTGGAACAAAATGGGTATATTGGAACAAGCTGGATGAGAATGGAGCAGTCAAAAGAAACAAGGCAAGGCTAGTGGTCCAGGGGTATAATTAGAAGGAAGGAATCGACTATGATTAGACCTTTGCTCATGTGGCAAGACTTGAAGCTATTCGATTACCTATTGCATTTGTTGTTTTTGAAGAGTTTACTCTTTATCAAATGGATGTAAAGAGTGCATTCTTGAATGTATATTTGAAAGAAGAAGTATATATAAAACAGCCACCTGGCTTTGAAAATCCTGAGTTCCCTAATCATGTCTATAAGCTAGACAAAGTTTTGTATGGATTGAAGCAAGCTCCAAGAGCTTGGTATGAATGACTATCCAAGTTTATATTAGACCATGGCCACACAAGAGGTAAAATTGACAACAAACTTTTTCTAAAAACAAATATAAAATACTTATTGATTGTCCAGGTATATGTGGATGACATAATATTTGGATCTACAAATGGTCTAATGACTCAAGAGTTTTTTAACCTTGTGAGTGGAGAGTTTGAAATGAGCATGATGGGTGAACTTAATTTCTTTCTTGGATTACAAATCAAGCAAATACCCACAAGTACCTTGATTCATCAACAAAAGTATGTGAGGGAACTACTCAAAAAGTTCAACATGAGTACTCATATTGCTACTGCTACTAAGTTAAACTTGGATGAAACATGTGCATCTATTGATCAGAAGATGTACAACGGAATTATTGGGTCTCTATTGTACCTTACTGGAAGTAGACCTCATATCATGCTTAGTGTTTGACTGTGTGCCAGGTTCTAAGCAAATCCCAAAGAATCTCATCTTAAATCTGTTAAAAGAATTTTCAGGTATCTCAAGGGAACTAGTGACCTGGAACTTTGGTACTCCAAAGGAAGCAACTTCAATCTTGTTGGTTATATAGACGCATCAAAAAAGACTTTTCGAAGCGCGGAATCCCAGAATGGAATCATTGCTATTTATATAGTAAAAATCCTATGCAATATAAACGAACAAAACACATTGATATAAGACACCATTTTCTGACAGACAATGTAGAGAAAGGTCACATATCAATAATGTTTTGCTCCACTAAGGAACAAATTGTTTATATTTTTACCAAAGCATTAAGTAGGGAGCACTTTGAGAAAAATAGGCTAGACTTCAGGATGATTAAGATTGCATAATTTCCCTCCCTCAATGATTGGTTAGAAAACTGTAGCTATACGAATTAATATGTGTGTTGCACTATGATGTAATAAATTATCCAGTCTATAAAATGCATTAACTTGTATATCAATTTTGTACTTATCAGCTCTTGCAGATTCTCATGCATCTTTATTTCTCTGAGCAGTGAAAAATAGGTGCAAATTAACTTAGGAAATTGTGGAGTACACCTTAGGTATAAATATTTTTTATTAAGAGTCACACATGCTGATACACATAAATAATATGATTCTTTATTCTTCTCTCTCCCATTAATTCTAACAACAAAAACCGAAAACTCCTCTTCTCCCCTCTCTCTTTTCTTCCAAATAAGTTGTGACCATCGCATCAAACCACCTTTTCCAACCGTTCACCACAAGCTTCTTCTTGAAACCCCAATTACTTTCTTCATCACTCATACTCAACTATGGTGTCTTCTTCAAAATTACCTAGAGAAACTATAATCTCAGAATCATTTGACACTTCTCTTGCCATAGTCAGTAAAGAATCTCCTCCAGACTTTATTTGGGTCTCTATGGATGGAATTGCTCACATCATATCGATTAATGGTCTTCCACCTCTCCCAGCCGATGAGGAAGTTTATTCTCAGGATCTTTCTCTAGTACTTCTTCCTCATACATCTAATGAGGGGGAAGCTAGCGTGCATGCATCCTTCCGGAGCCCACCACGGGCCGTGGTCTTGATGACGGGTCATGGATGGGTCCGTCATCCTGAGCTAGCAGCCCAAGTGAATGACCACATTGGCCTTAACGGTCCGTGGTTCTCCACATGGTCCATGGTATGGCTCGTGGAAGGGACCTCCTAGAAACATTAGTCACTGGTCAAGAACCACGACCCAGTTGACGGGTCGTGGTCCCTTTGACGATTTATCAGTGGTTCCGTGGTTGGCCTCCATCAACTTTTAAGTCAGGGTCATTTTGTTTTCCCCCCCTATGCATCAGACATTTAAACTACGTCATTTAATACCTAAACTACATCGTTTTACTCTGTTTAAGCCTTATAATCTAGTCAGAATCTACCTAAAACCTTATTCTCCAAAAATCATTCGAAACTTAGAGCAAAAAGAAAAGAAAGTAGCGCTAGTTTTCCAAGAACAGTCAGAAAGTTTACTTCAAGTTTCAACCCCGAAATCGATGGATTTCTTCGTAGATTTTGTCAGTAGGTATGTGGTATTTCACTGGTGGGTTCCTTTCATCCACTAGGTCCCTAAAATTCAGTTAGTTCATTGATTCTCTATAACTTATTTAGGCCTAGTGTCACACCCCGAGGCTAGTCCCTTGACGTAAACACGGGACCTAGGATCACGAGTGACCCCAAGCTAACCCTGAGCTGGCATATCATAAGCATACTTAAAAAATTACTGTGCGGAAACTATAAACATGAGATAAATTAAATGATAGGGAAAACCCTATCTAAGTGTGAATATAAAAATACTAAGCAAGATTTTAAGATACTTAACTATAACTCAAATACTAAAGCTGAATTTGTCTATGTCTGAAATAAGCCTCTAAATGACTAGAGATGCTGGGACATCCCCCCAGCTAACTCTAGTAAAACTGGAACTAAAATGAAAGTCTGAATATAAAAGAATATGTCTATCATCCTCGAAGCATTAGGACTCACCACTGAACCTGCTGTAATGGATCAGAAACCGATCTATATGTCATCTAGATGTTGAGTACTTGAACCTACATCATGAAAGAATGTAGCACAGAATATACATCAGTACTTGGAAAGTACTAAGCATGCAGGATAGAATAAAACTGAACAAACATATAACTTAACAAAGCATACTAAGCAATGATAAAATCTGAATATGATGAATATACTAAAAAGATACTGAATATGAACAAAATGAATGCAATGACCAAGTACATAACATGCTGAAGTTGAATATTGAAATATAACTGGGAACTTGGTCCATGCACTAGAATCTGACTGTGGGAGCTACTAATAACCGATATAAAACTACATGAGCTAAATTTGAAGTCCGACGTATATGCCCCATCGAGAGGACCCAATATACCTTGCCAAGGGTATAGAGGCATGACTGGCGTGATCACTAAATATGATGCCCACAGAGGGGACTTATAAACCTACGGGGGCACGTAGTTCTAGGACTATGAGGGTGACTGACCCTAATCCAACTCGGTGTTAAGCCTAATACCAACTGGAAATGTGTAGAATACAATGTAGTAGAAATATGTGGAATAACTCGATATTCTGATATGCGAACTGAAAATGCAACATTAAATACTAATAATGAGACATTTGAAAACTAAAGCATGTATATTTGTCCTAGCTAGTGTAATTCATGAACTAAACGAATCTACACAACTAGGGTTTTCAATTTCAATCAAGGAACTAAGCAACAGTGTTACAACAACATGAAAACCTGATTAGGAATATTCTACAACTAAATCACAATAATTTATAACATTCAAGAAACCCTAGGTCTAGATAATACGAAAGGGGATCAAGAATCTGACTAATTTCTAGGGACCTAGTGGATGAAAGGAATCCGCTAGTGAAATCCCACATACCTGGTAACGAATTCCACGAAGAAATCTTTTGATTTCGGGGATGGAACTGAGGAAACCTTGTTCCCTTATTGTAGAGGGTTGGTCGATTGTTTCTTCTCCTTTTGCTCTTGTTTAATCAATTTTTTGGAGAATGAATCGCTTAGAGTAAGTTCTGATTAAGTTACTAGGCTTCAACTAACCAAAATGACATAGTTTAGGGGTTAAACGACGTCGTTTAGGTGACCAACACATAAAGGAAGAGATCGAATAACCCCTGACTTAAAACTGCCAAGGCCACCGATGGCCCTTAACCAACAAACCATGGACTGACTGATATACCTTGAATTTATGGTATTTTTGATATGTTTCACTTAGAGTTTGTGTGTGTCTCGGGCCATTTTGTGTTAGAATTAATGTTTTGTGTCTAAGAATAGCATGAAATAAGCATGGAATGCAGTTGATGGAGATCATAGCTGAAATTATGCAGAAGGAGCCACCCATGGAATAACCCACAGACCGTAGGTCCTTTGACAGACCGTCATTGGGAAGTCGAAGATGGAGCATCAAGGAAGTCTTACAAAGTGTGGAACTACGAAGCAACTGACGAACCGTAGGTCGATCCATGAGCCATCCTCTTCATTCATCGATGGATTCAGAGAGTTGACAATCCGGTACCTGATGAAAATTCCTAAGTATGGAGCAACGGAAGAAAACCTACGGACCGTAGGTCGACCCATGATCGTAGGTAGAGTCGTGAACTATAGTCGCGTTCCAGATATCTTGTTTCCTTTTTATTTAGGACTTCTTTTTCTATAAATAGGAGTTATAAACCCCGTTTTGGGAGTTAGATATTATTGTAACTCTTAGTTTTTGTGTTTTAGGAATTAATTTGCAAAATTTAGCAATTTGATTTCCGAATTTCGTTTTATAAGATTTTCACTTAGCAATTCAATTGGAGACTTTTGGGGTTCATCTATTCGAATCGTAAATTCATGAATTCTTTCTTCTTAAACATGAATTGTGAACTCTCAATCACGAGTAGCTAAATCCACAACTATGGTTATGGGAACAATGAGCAATTAACAAAGTATGAATAATAATTAAGTAATTCTTGAATAGTATTGATGCATGTATTGTTAACTATTTTGTTTGAAAGTCTTTTTAATGGTTGCAAACGTTAGAACTTGCCTCGTTCCTACTTGCCGGACCAAGGAGGTAATGAATGAGAAAATAATTAAACATAGAGATTTAGTGGATGCTATCTAATAGTCTAATGTCAATTGGTGCAAGGGTGAAAATTAAGCCATACATTGATGTGATGTTTAATCTGGGGCAAAGGTAAGGGTTAGTAAAGAATACACACGTAGCCAGACCAAGGTGTGGGGTGAAATCCCCTATTTGGAGGACCAATCACATACAGATACCTAACTTGCCAACTTTGCATGCAAAACACTAGGAAAGGATTACTATTATCAGTATTACTGCGTTAAGAGCTTATGGGGAACACATATGCCCTAGTTTATCTCTCATATTAATAACTCAAAGTTTGAATCTTGCGTACTTGTTACTTAATCAACAATTTGTTAATTGCTTACAGAAACCCCCCATTTCACTTTTCTCAGAAATAGTTTGACTAAACGGAAATAATAGTGAGTTAAGTTTAACTCTGAACCATTTTCCTCGTGTGATCGACCCCAACCTATAAGTTGGGTTCTTTATTTGACAACGATCGCTTATACGTCTTTCGGGAGGTGTAATTTGAACATATCAAATTTTGACGCAGCTGCTGGGGAATACGACTTTTAGATTAACTTTAACTACATTATTGAACATTAGTCAAATATCTCCTAATTTTACGTTTTGTTTTTGTTTTTGTTTTCTACAAGTTTCTACTCTACTGTATGCCAAGTACACGGAGTCGAGGCGAACCATTGACCCCCTACGATCCTGAACTAAGCAAGACTTTGAGAAAAGTGGCAAATCAAGGGGTCCATAATAATTCCATCATTGAGGATCATGAGGATGGGGTTGACTTGC